GACTCGCGTGAAGAGTCTGACATTTTTATGTGGCCCACTGCCAATAAAGGTTGCACAGCCCTAGGCTGAAGAATAGGTATTCAACACTAAGTATCCTTCCAATACAGCAAGCATTATTTTCCCCAAAACCTGGCGGCATTACGAGGATTCAAGCTGAGGTCAAAACCATTTCTCTCACCCCCTCCTTCTCTTCCCTCCATTCCTATATTCCTTCCCCCCCCCCTCAAACCAATATAGCGTCACAGAGAAGTGGCTGCTCACGAGAATTCCTCAGGTTATGTAATTGGTTTACATTAACAAAGAGAGAAGGCAAATCACGTCAAATCTATTCAAATCAGCCTGTTAGGAAGCATTTGTGTCAAATTTTTTTAGAGCTGTCACGATAGCTGTTTGGAAACATCGAAGTTCTATTAATTCAACTATAGATTGTGCATCAGCGCATCGCTGGTAGAGGGAGCGAAGGTTACCAGCAGATTCAGTCATCTCTGTCTCGCCCACGCAGAGATGTAACTTCCGTCATTTATCACGATAGGGACGCTGATCTTTTTGCGTCTTCAGTCATTCTTTGTTGATGATCACCCCAATGAGTAATAGAGCCACCCGTGCCTCTACGTATATACAAAGGCATCGATCGATGCATCGTGATAACCCTACTTTTTTCTATCGCCATTAAGGGACATTTGGCGAGGTCACTTGAAGAAATATATAATTCTGTTATTGTTTTGGCTCTCATAACATTTAAAGATTCAGTATCATTTGCATTTTACTTTGAAGATGTATTTATGTTTGCAGTTGCGTTTCCACCAATCCATTCCGTTGGGGAACAGAGCCAATGGAGAACGAGGAATCAGGAAGTGCCACACTGAGCTTTCTACATCCGGATTCACAACCAAGGACAGTTTCGAGACTCAAGACTTCTGCTCCTGTAAGGACCTATAGTATAGCTTTCAAATGAGCTTACGCATCACCTGAGATGGGCGATATTTTTCCCTTCAAAGTTTTGCGTATGATTGTAAAACCAACAACAAAAACAAAAACAGAATTGTCATGGAATGATCGCATGCCACTATCACACGTAATATTATCCCAGTAAAAGCCATTTGACATTTCCAAAGCATCCTATTGACTTCGGAAAAATGTAGGCCATTGATAAAAAAGGAAGCAGTCTTCTGATCCGGAAACTGCGAAGAAACGCGCTGTTAAGAGAGGAAAGCTGAATTTCACCTTTTTCCGTTCGAGTCGGCATAGAGAATGCTATTTTGGTGAGAATACGTTCTGTGCAAAACTCTCCCATGAGGTTCTTAGAATAACTCCAATACAATGATTTACCATTATAGGAACTCATGATATCCCCTTGAGGGATATCGAGATGAGCGCAGCTGCAGCGAGGTCCTTCTCCGAGAAAGCCAAGGACACACTAAAGAGGGAAATCTTGGAAGAAGGAGAGTCCATGCCACGTTTCAGCCTTCCATGTCACTCCGTTATATTCAAGCAATGGGACATGGAAGTGTAAGAGAAGCCAAAAAAAAGGCTTGGAATGGCGGGAACTGAACCAAGGACTTCTATATATCGGTCAGATGTGCCACCACTACAAAACCGAAACAGTGGCGTAAAATGGCATCTCTCAATGACATCCTTATGAGTACCTTTTTTGTAAGGGTGGAGAACACATTTTCAAATACTTCCCTACTGAAATCTACGCTAAGGGTGGATATTTCAAGAATGCGATTTTTCCTGTACTCAGCAATCAAACCGGTACTTCTGAGGGAGTTTTAAATTTCCTGTTTCTGTTTCGTTGAATCAAAAAATAATTCACGAAAATGGGACTTTAAAAAATGTCCTGATTTTTTTTAACAAAATTTTTTTTTCTGAAATATAGCCTGAAAGACCTCCATGCCACACAGTTTTAACCTCATACGTTTCCCCTATTTGGTGGCGGTAAAAAATATATTTGGAAAAGCTCAAAAGCTGTCCTCTGAGAGAGGCTCAACAAAAGTTAAATTATTCCTTATATCAACATCACGTCCGTTATGCGTGCACCAGATAGATTTTTTAGACTTCTGCCCGATTTGCTAGGATATTTAAAATTCTTTAAAAACGTTGCAGGAACTCATGATATCCCCTTGAGGGATATCGAGATGAGCGCAGCTGCAGCGAGGTCCTTCTCCGAGAAAGCCAAGGACACACTAAAGAGGGAAATCTTGGAAGAAGGAGAGGGCATGGGGAGTCAGTTGATGATCATGATTGCAAGAAGCAAGGCAGGCGAAGTCCCAAGGTTTGATCCACTGAAAGTGAGCTCCACTCTTCCCTTCTATCGTGATTGTATTATTATTATTATTATTATTATGTAAGCGAAGCATTCGATCTCCCACTTTATTTTCTGGCTGCAAGCCACAAGCTCCACTTTAAAAAATTCAAATATTTGAAGATTGGGAAATAAATTTTCACAAAATTAGGTACCAAAATTCTGCCCCATCTTTTTCGCAAAGAGCAGCATTTTCATAGGGATTTGGAGGAGCTCTGGCCCGATAATCTGTGCGCTCCACACCTATCAACTGCTCTTCCTCTGATACGTTTCTTTGTGCAAAAAAAAAATCCTTCCAGTTGCCTTCGCATTTTCGCACCTGTGCTAAAACGGCTGGAGTAAAGCGAACAATAATTTTAGGACATTTGAAGGATACGTAGAAGTAGTGCCTAAAAAATTTGCTGTGCTATCTCATGAATTCCAATGAATCTCAAAGAGCGGCGCGTTTTTTTCTTCTCATCCGGTATTTGTTCATTCTCCATAGAAGTATGGGTACTTCTACGAGGTTGTGGCAGGCCAACACATCATAGTCGCGAAGAAGGAAATCTACGAGGAGACCGCCATGGAGAAGGATACGTGCATGTGTGCAGTCTACATGGGCGTCACAGAGGAGGAAAAGATGGACCTGGCACTGCACAACGCCACGCTGCAAGCGATTCCATTCAATGTCCTTGATGTGGTAAGCCTTGCTCTCGCGTCATAGCTCTTTCCATAGGGTCTCTCCAGACGTCACTCATGTATATATTGTTCTAATTTCCCGCGGAATTGCAGTTGCAGAAGTGCCAAGATGCTGAGGAGAACTCGTCTGACATCCTACAATCATTCAAGACTGTTTTAAAAGTGAGCTTAACTCGTTTTCATGTTCTTTTCGACATTTCTGACAGAATAAGAGAAGTACAAAGACAATGGTAGGACTATACGCAGAAATTTGCATTGTAAAAGTTCATTTTGAGACGCTTCACTCAGAAGTGCTTTTTCCTTTCTCGTTTTAAAATGAACAGTTTATTTATATTGGAAGTCATGGAAGTCATAGTTCCTTAAATGAACTCTTTTGACTCATATATATTGCAGCTGAATCATTCCTTACTGAGTATTATCCAATGTCTCCAGATATTTCCGGAAAAGAGATGCAAAGAGAATTAATGTATTTTTAAATATGAAGCTCCGTCAAAGCTTATAGGCAAATCCCAGTTGAAAAAAAAATAAGCGCGACCATGGTGATTTTCTGCAGCAGCTTTACTCGTAAGGGAACGATCATCACTGAATTAACAATTTGAGTGAGTCTTGAAAGCGAAAAAAGATAATGAA